TATCCAGCCCACATGCAAATCACGGAACGTTTTTCTTTTTCATAAAGATTCTGGTACCATGATTTGTTTGGCACACAGTCTGTCCTCAAACAAGTGTGTGAAAAAAACATGGGTGCTTCGGTTAGCTTCCGCGTTGGATCTACGTTCCACCGCCTTGGGGATCAGACTTTTGAGTAAAAAACCCTTCGTCGATGTTGGCTACCGCGAAGTGTGTCGTGTCCCAAATTCTTAAGTATCTATCTGGAACACTCTTTCTCACCTGTTCAGTTCTTCCCCTCACTCCCAAATCGTATGAGAAGCCTTCTATTTGGACCACCTGTGGGATATCACTCAGCGTTCAACTTGTAAGATCAAACATCCAGAACCTATCAAATTTTAGCCGCATTTATTGTCCGCACACACAGATCGGTCAGCAAACTGTCTTAGCTAGAACCATCGAAGCTTTTAATTTAGATGTATGCTGTCTCCGAAACACGCATAGTAGACCCTGTTTCAACCACCACCTTACGATCTCCAGATCTAACATCATGATTCAGTACGAGTCAACAGCTACAGAACGACCACATCGCAATCAGTCACCGCTGGCATGGGTCCATTGAAGACTGCCGCTCCCATGGACACCGACCATGTTCTGCTATGAGCCAGGTTCTCCCTACGCCTAGTAAACAAACAGAAAAGCCACCGGAAACGGATGCCCACACAACCATGTCAGCGATAATTGCAAATTGGTCTTCAAATCGGAACTCTCTGATGGTCTTTCAGTTCAACCACCAGCCGAAGGAATCGGTGCACACTGGATAGAAGGCATTCAAATTTCAATCAAATCAACGGTGGACTCAGGTGACGGCTCAAACCACAGACGATGGATCTCCTGCCTGCCGGACGCCCATACAATCCTTCTTCCCGATGTCACATATGAAACAGCACGCAATTAAACACGAGCTCATCATGGGTCTTAGGAATGACTGCGAGAAGTAGTAGATGGGGAAGTGTAGAGCGATGGAAAAGGCCTTTGACTATGGATAATGGTAACTTTTTCGTGTAATTCGGCCCGCTGGAAAATAGGTGCAAGCGAGGTAATTAAGGAATCTGATGACATACTGATTCGTCATCAGCAGCGCCGTCTTTTTCGATGGGCTGAACATTTCGAGGCTCAGTTCAACTGGCCCCCTACTACATCTGACTTAATGCCCCCACCTCGACTGGGCAAATAATCCCAGTTGATCCCAGTCCTCTGTCTGAAATGGAGATTTCTCGGGACATACGTTATCTCAGAAGGTATGAAGACACCGAACCAGATGTACTGTTCTCATCGACTTTTAAGGATTGATGTTTCGCACTAGTCTTAGAGTTAGTTAAACTCATGAGTTTAGTGTGGACGAGGAACCGGTTTCAACTGACCGGTCACCATACCGATTCATAAGAAAGGTGACAGATTCTCTTGTGAAAACTATAGAAAAATGAGTTTAATCAACACTGTCTCTAAGCCCCTTGCTAGCATCATACTCCGTCGATTGCCTGCCGCAGGCGCGAGAATCAGGCTGCTTTCAGACCCGGTCGAGGTTGCAGAGATCACATTTTCATTCTTTAAATTCTAGAATACAGACACTTCTTGCGTAGACCCACCATTTCTATCTGAAAGCGCATTTCGACTCAGTCGACCTGTGAGGTATGTCCTAGAAGTTTATTTCAATTTTGCGATTCCTTGATACCGATAGCCGATGACGAATATGGGCTTAGGGCACTTTTTCGCCCCAGTTCCCTATAGAAGTTGGTGTTCGTCAGAGTTGCCCTCTTTCTCCCTCTCTATTTCACTTTGCCAGGGATATAATTTTGCGCACAGACATTCAATCAAATTCAGCTAAGGCCTTGTATTAATCTACTGCTTAATCGAACTATATATGTAAATGCCTGAAGCGAGATATCGAAAAGAAATTTCTTCGCGTTTCGACTTTGTTCTTAGGGATATAATTGTTGAAACAGCCCTATTCTCGAGCGAGGATAGCGGTATCCCATTTGCTTTCAGATGATAAACTGTCTGGTCCGAAGTAAGCAGACAATATTCTGCTGCTAAGTAAAAATCCTGGTAATCGCAGACTTTTCTGGGTAGTTTGTGTATCTATGTTTGTTATGCGTTTGGCACTTTCAAAGTGTAAAATGTTGCTATCGCATTGGGTTGGCCCAGCCCCCAACCTCATTGTAACTGGGAAAGTAGACAAATTTAGCTATGTGAACAGCTATATATTATCTAGCGGATGGCACGCACACAGAAGGCTCGATTGGCATTTGTGGCGCCGTCTTGACATCCGGCTGTCTGTGAACAGTCGAGTGTATATTGCAGCAGTCAGGCCAGTCCTGCCCTACGGTGCAGACATTTGGCCATCAAGAAAACAGGATAAAGACATTGTCGGTGTCTGAATACTGCAACTCCACGTTGCACAAGTCTGATCGGAAACCGGGAAAGCAAAACTGAGGTTAGGCACAGAGTTTTACGTAATCTCAGTCGTCCATTAGAACAAAAATATGAAAACCCTTACCAGGGCACTGGGTCACATATTTGCCGTTACGCTCCGTGGATGGTAACCTCGAGATCATGGTAAACCGTTGGTTAGAGACACCGAGTGATATGACTGGGTGTCACAAACAGTAGCACCCTCATTATTCTTGCAACCCCAGTCCATATAAATTCTCTATCTTCACTCTGACTCTGCTCTAAACATTCTGATCTTCAATCTGGTCTCGTATCCAAACGGGTAGCCAAAACCGGTGCATGGTTAACACTTCATCATCATCATCATCATCATGGTACGGCGAAATACAGTGAAGCGAACTTCATTGATTGCTGCCAAACTCGCAATGTATACAAGATTAGTGGTAAAATTTAAGGTGGACAGGGATCGGACCTACTTTAAGGGATGGAGAAGAAGGTGAACCACTGTGGTTAACACAGAGTGCACAATCGAACTTTGCATACATACCGTTTCAAGCGTTCTGATCTGATAAGAAATGACAAAAAGATTGCCACTGCTGTTGGTTCGCTGCCATATCCTTCAATGTCTCCAACCAACCGGTTGTGGAGCCTTTCGGACCCCAACTTGGAAGGCGGGAGACACCTAGTCTACCTAATGGTTGACACTTGTGAAAACTGAACTGAAAACAGTTCAAACTATCGTAATGGTGGAGGGCGGATATCTCGTTGCTAATGCTAACAGTGTGTTTCAAAATGGATAGGTTAACCCAAACCAGGCTGGTTTTCCGTGAGTGACATTCTGACAGGTGCACTTGCGAAAAAAGTGCATTTCTTTAACCATAGACAGCAACGCACGACCAAAGAGAGCATGTCTTTGAACCTCAACCGTGTTGTTCCACCCAGTCAAGCAGTAAGACATAAGTGTTCACAGGATCCAAAACAGAGGAAATAATGACTGTGAAAAGAAACGTGGATATGCGGTAGCCAATGTAACACGATTTAATTCAGCCATGTAATGGCAATTCATGCTTTAAGCACAAACTGGGGTATTGAAATGAAACTGCTAGTCTGATTGGTAAAAAACACCTAACAAATGCGTAGCCTATTGTTTAGACTAGTTATGTCGTTCGCACAATCCAGAATACCTCTAGTAGCAACAGTAACGTGGCTGGTCTTATAGTGTTGAATGTACATGTCGTTTTTAAACAATGGTTCACAGTAAGCGGAGTTCAGAGACAAAAACAGACTCATGTCAAAGTTATTTATTGATCAAACAATATGATAAGTTCTGAAAAATTAGATAAGTACAAAAATATGGTCGTTTATGTGTTGAGTTCCGGGTTGGGATAGTTCACCAACTGGCTCTGTGTGCACCAATGGAGGGAAGGGTAGAATGGGGGAATGAATAAATAAGTTTATGTGAGTGCATGCGTATGTGCCACACGAAATTATATCACATAGTTCACTGAATGGGATCTGCTGAACGGTTGTTCCTGTAGTTCATTAGACAACCAAACACCGCGACATATAGACTTTTGCAAAAGGTTCACTACGTGTTCGGCCGGTGTATTGGCGTTTGGTTTCACTGCAGCGGCCGCGGGAGTAGACGACCATAGACTGCGACCTTGCTGGTTGATGGTGTAAGCATATGGAGCCAAGTAGTACAGGTATCCCGACCGATCTGCAACACAAAGTCCCTGACAAAGGGCCTCACCCAATTGCTGTGTGATTTGATTGAACGGTTGAAGAGAAGGCGTGAAGCACAATGCAGTCACGTGGGACGGCTTCCCGTCGGGTTGTGGCAGCTGAGAAAGCAAAGACAGAACGGGTGGAACAATTGATTAGTGATTTAATTCGAGTTGGAACAAATGTAAGTTTTTCAGTCATCTTCACAGCAGTTATGACAGCTTCCACTCAGTTTCTTATTTTAAAGCAGCTGGCAATGAGTTATTATAAATCCAAATTAAGTTTTATTCAATCCTTTTGCCTCTTGGAGTGAAGTTTATGTCAAGAAAAGCCAGAGGTTTATCTGTTGGCAATAAGCCTCTGGTTTCTGCCGGTAGTATCAAGCAGAGACTCAATTAGTCCCATGCGTTACGATAAATGTTGTTCTCCGGTGACCTATTGACTAGTACAAATAATTATTTTGCACCATCATCTGTTGGCTTTCAAGTGTAAACGTTCGTCATGGCCCTAATGTATCGATATAAGCACTGTGCTTTGGATCCGAACGTTACAAACCACGCTGTGAACTGACCTCTATTTTGAATATCAAAGATAGGACCATCAGACCAATTTCTCAGTCTTGGAATCCCGTTCCATCACCCACACACACGTCCCGTCCAGAATGATTTATGAAAGCAACCCATGTGGCAGTATGTGAGTCAGTGTAAGTGTGTGAGTAAAACGTAAGCTGGAGGCTGATCAACTTTTGTATCATTTTGCAAAGGAGTCGTTATTCGTTGCAGCTATTCCAGCTGGTGTTAGCAGTTGTCTATCATAACGGCCGTTTTCTGGAAGACTATTTCGTAGTTCGACACTGTTCGAATGCATCCCTCGCGAACGGCTTGCATTACCCTCATTTTAGTCGTACAAGTCCTCAAAGAGAAAAAATCATTGCATTGTCATATCATCTGTCCAATATCGTTTTGGTGTTTCGTTCGAGATTTGTTTCTATTTTTTGGCCTCGAGTACCTATACAGAACAGGGGAAACATTAATCTATTTTGTCCGATGCTTCATTCCGCACCGAATTCACGTGACTGCCGTGCGTCAGATTCGAAAATTCACTGTGACCTTATCTACTCCGATCTCTATTATGAGATGGATTGCTGATGCAAATGGTTTGAAAAATGTTTATGTGGAATACCGGTACAAGACTGATTAAAGTGAATACACGATGAATAAAATGTATGCAATTAAGCAATATAAATAAACCGAGTTTCGGTGTGATAAAAGTATGGTAAAATGGACGCGAAGGACACCAATAAAATGATTTTGGAAAATATGCACTCACTCAAGCGATGAGATCACAAACAAATGTTTCGCTTTGAAAATTTATAAAGATAACTGTTTTGAAATTGTAATTGATTTGTATGCGATCCCGAAGCACTAACGAATTTCGATTTCCGTTCACCTTCCGTCGATATTTATACACGCGAAAAAATTCGAAGTCACAGGACCTCAGCCAGGTGTATAAAGCAATCTGTTGATTGCAAATGTCATACAGTTCTGTTTTATGGGCAGAGAAAAGCGAGCAAAATTGTACGGATATACAGGGATGATCTGTCTTATCTCAGTGACCCATGTCTATGACATGGTCTGAGGGCTGTGAGGAATCGATTCGATGGTCGTTCATGCCAATTTAAAATTTTGAAACACATGGTTGGCTGATGGAAATAAACATGAACCACATTTTATTACGATCGATACAAGCTATGTTCACACATGATAAGTTTCTTCAGCAATATATTATTTAAGTATATTCACTGGAACTGTAAACATCCTGACTGGTATCCGAAGTTCTTAATCCTATCGATTGATCAAATATCGAATAATAACTATGTGAATCAGAACTTATTACAGAGTTGCACACGGGGGCAGTAGTCAATCGACCTAACACTACCGGTGTCTCCCTCTTAAAACTAATAACAAGGTAGCCACGATTAAGTAATAATGCTTCATAGACAAGAAACTAATTCAAATGAATGACTAATGAGATGAGGTAACTCACTAGCATGGTATGCACCGTATCCAAAGTCCAGGAGTTCAGCCAAACCAGACGTCCACCAGGACCACCTAAAAGTAGGCAATTCACACCGCGGCCTTCAGGAACAGTGGAGTAGGCCATGGGGACATTTGGGCCATCAAGACCAACATTGCGCCAACTGGGATCCGGGTCCTGTGCGGATCCGTCACTGATTTCCGCATAGAAATCCAAGATTCGAGCGGTTACTTGTTTTCCCGAAGGACTGTATACACCAATCCAGCATGCTATTTGACATCCGCGGAGCAGTGCGCGTGTTAAGGAAAACTTGTTAGAAGTTTGATGAGGAATTGGGGGATTATTTGTTCGAAAGATAATGAGCTAATTTTAAATGCAACACGGATGAAGCCAAAGATTTTCCAGTCCGATACCTTGTAAGTGTTACTCATTTGAGCACCAGTGTTATCATGCGTTTTACGTCATCAAAGTGTAAAACATTGTTTTTGCTACAGGACCCAGTCCCCAAGCACACTCTATCTGGGGAAGTAGGACAATTTTGCTCATTAGGTATGCGTATCCGGTAGTCTTCTGTCTGATCATTCTTATTCTTGAAATCCTGATGTGAATTATTTAATGCAAACCTAATTTGCGGCTACTCATTATAGACATACTGAAAATCG